AAAAAGAATCAATGAAATCAGTAAATACTTTCATCAAGTTGATCTTTTATTACATGGCACATACACATACATATAATTTTGTGTTTATTAGACTAATATGTAGTATTTGCCATTAAACTTTATTTTATACTTTTATTGGGGTATAGCTTACATATAATAAAATACACTAATTATAAGTGTACGTGTTGGTGAATTTATGTGTATACACTCACCTAATCATAATCCAATCAAGACAGTTTTTGGACACAACCTTTGACCTTCTCAGTCATTACTTATCCTAAAGGTAACCGTTATATTCCTTTCTGTCACAGTAGGTTACTTTTGCATGTTCTTGAACTTCATGTAAATACAATTTACATGAATATAGCACATAGTTCAAGGAATTTTCATTATTTATTTATTTATTTATTTATTTTTATTTATTTTTTTGCGGAACCAGGGATTGAACTCAGGCTCTTGTGCTTGCCAGGCAAGCGCTTATTCTACTGAGCCATCTTCCTGCCCCCCCATTATTTATTTTCTTTTTTATTTATTTATTTTCATAAATAGAATTATATAGTACCTATTCTATATCTGACTGAATTATGTAAAACAAACTGGCTTCTGTTGCTCAATGCTTATATCTTGTTGAAAATGACAACAATTTTTCTGTAGAATATTCTGTTTTATAAAAATAGCTTAAAATATTCTCTTATTGATATACATATTTTCGATAAGTAATTATGTATCCTGGTATATATGAATGTATTTATTTTTATATGTGGGCTATAGAATTTTCTTATTCTAAATTATTTGTACTCTTTCATTGTTTTTGTATACATCATGTTATCTTAAATAATGAAAATTTTTCCCTTGCTGATTTTATGCCTTTTATTTATTTTTTCTTTCCATTGCCTTTAAGAAAAACTAAGTACTTTCCTAGTTATAGCTTTCTTTTCATTCTTGTATATTCTTTTTCCTTGATCAGCCTTGATAGGGATACTTAGTTTTTCAAAGAATTAACTTTTGTATTGTTTTACTATTTTAGAAATGATTTTTGTTTGCCTTTTCCTTGGATTGATGCACTATTTTTCTAGCTTCTGATGATGGAATAGCATCAGTATTAACTTGTTAACAGCATGCATTTAGAGTTACAGATTTTGCTGTACTGCTTTTGCTGTATGCCACACATTTTAGTATATCTTCATTCAGATAAAAGAACTTTATAATTTCTATTGATTTTATTTGGTATGAATAATTCAGGATTGTGTTTCTTAATTTCTGAATGCTTAGGGGAATTTATAGTTATCTTTTAGTAGCTGATTTTTAATGTAATTCTGTGGTAGTCACAAAACATGTAATTCATGGTTTAAATTTTTTGTTACCTGTTTAGACTTGCTTTATTGCCTAGTATGTACAACCCATGTTTCATATGCATTTAAAAATACTGTAATGTGTGAATTCTGTAGTTGTCAGGTTTCACATTCTATGTTAGCTGTAAGTGGAACATTTGAAAATATTTACATCTATGTATTTAGTGATTATTTTTGCTTACTTGTCAATTACTGAGAAATGTTTAGCAAATTGCCAACTGTGATAGTGGCTTTATCCAATTTTTATTTAGCTCTTTTGGATTTTACCTTTTATATTTAAAAACCAGGCTATTTGTGGATGACAGATTTATTTATAACATTACATGTAAATTATATCAAGTTATAAACATGATGCTTTTATCATTATGAAATGTCCTTTATCTCTAGTGATACCTTTTACTTACAGCTTACTTTGACTTACATTAGTATTGCCAATCCATTCTCTTCTTTTTGCTTCTGTTTTCAAGTTTTTTAGGATATGGTTGTTAACTGTCTAAATTTATTCTTATAGCCTGTGATTCTAACTAGAATTTTCTTTATTTTTTGATAGAATTCAAATGTAGGTATAAAAAATGTACTTAAGTGTACTTTTAGGTGCTTTTTAGTATATTCACAAAATTGTCAATAGCCACCATTATCTAATTCAAGAACATGTCATCAAGCACTTCTTATTTGTTAGCAGTAATTCTTCATGTTCCTTGTTCTTAGCCTTTGAGAAAGGCCAGTATTCTTAATGGTTTTGTGGACTTGACTATTCTGGACAGTAACGGTATATGTTGTTTTTATAGAGCTAACTGTTTCTTACACACACAGACACACACACAGACACACACACACACACAGCGCCCATATAGAGTGTAAATAGAGAGCCAGTGTATATGGGGGAGGGGAAGACAGCCATTCAATGTATGGTCTGATTCCTTTCACTTGATCTCCTGGTACTAAATTCCTTCAGCTTTTATATGAAAGTAGTTTATTTTACTTGCCATTGTAATGGATAATTTTTCAAGGTAGCAAGTTCAAGGTTGGCAAAAATCACATTAATATGTTTGCTTCTTTTAGTCAACTTCTTTTGTACTCTGTTCTTAACAATTTTTCATAGTGCTTTTTATTAGTTTTACTGTAATATATACCGAGCTGTTTTTTAATTTAGTCCTGCTTGAGTCTTGGACAGCTTCAAATCTTTAGCTTGATAAGTTTGGAAAATTTTGCAGCCATTATTTTTAAAAATTATTTTGGTCTCTTTTTTTTTTCTGAATTACCAATTTGTTATTCTGTATTTTAGCTTTTTATCAGTCTAATTGTCCTTTATGCTTTCTTGTGATTTTTCTCTGTGTATTTAATGTAGATATTTTGTGTTATCTTCCAGTTAACTAATCCTCTCTTTAGTGAGTTCATGTCAGATATTTTGTATTTTAGTTTTGAAGTTATTTTTTTCTTTTTTTTGAAGTTATTTTTCATAGATTTTACTTCTCTGTAGACATGTGTTTTGTTCTGTTTTTCTTTGATTTCATTGACTGCATTATTCATAATTCTGTTTTAACAACTTGATAAAAATTTAACCTAATTCTTCTTAGCAACATGTGTGTCTCTCTTGCCTTTGTTTTGCTGCATGCAAGTAATTCCTTGTGGTGGAGAAGTTTGTTTTTGTAAGGTTCAGACTAGTTTTTGTCCTGAGACCTTAATTATCTGATGTGTGCTAGAAAAATTATGATTTTATAGGTAATCTGACTTTTCTTTTTAGGCTAGGAATGATGCCATTTATAGCTTTCTATATCATAAACAGAAGTCAAAGATGTATCACAGCCATTTTAGCAGTCTCTCTCTCTCTCTCTCTCTCTCTCTCTCTCTCTCTCTCTCTCTCTCTCTCGGTATGACATCTCTTTTTGATAACTCTAAAAATCCATTAAAATGTGAATATCTCTGTTTTGACTTCTTTCTATGATACCTTATAATTTTTACTGGATACCAGATGCATAGGTGAAAATTTTGCAGTCTGGAAATTTTTTTTCTCTCTAGTGAAAATTAAATTTTCCCTGGCACTTCTGTTTCTATCAAGACATGGTTTTAGGCTTCATTAGAATTTGTCTATTTGCTGTTTTGTCCTTATATGAAGATGTCACTCTCATGCAACCTCAGTTGACATATCAGGGTCTGTTCAGTGTTCCTTGGTCTCAGTAGTCCTTCTTTGCCACTTCCAGCTACTTAGTTGCATTCCTGAGATGTCTACTTGACTGTTAGGTGGCTTTTTATATATTTACTTTAATTTATTCATTTTGTGTCTTGGGCTGTGTACCTATAATGATACTTGTTAATAATTTGAGGGCATTTCCATGAAGACTTTAAGTTTTTTCTCTGTGGGTCATTTTGGAAAACATTTTGTCATGAAGGTCATCTGGTTTGATAAACTGAACCTACAACCTCCACCTCCTCAGCTGTTTAAGGTTAAGGTATTATCCTTGGGCTTTATTTCCTACTGATTTGGGTGAATCTTTTGTACTAGGAGAGTAACTGAATATGAGAGTCACCGCTGGCTTTCCTCCTCCTGGCTTTCCTCCTCCTAGAAGCTGAGGTACTGAAAGCACCTCCTCCTAGAAGCTGAGGTACTGAAAGCGCCTCCTCCTAGAAGCTGAGGTACTGAAAGCGCCTCCT